ACTAATTTATTAATAATAATTTAATAATTTTTAATAATTTATCATTATTATGATTTATAATTTAGCTTCAACATTATTATTTTAAATAATATATGTAAATATGAGGTATTTGAAAATTTTTACATTTTTTTTGAATTTATTTTGAATAAATATATCTAGATGATTCAAATTTGGATTTAAAAAGGATATGATTAAATTTCTTTAATTACAAATTGCACATTAATATGGTTGGCCAAAAATTAAGATAAAAAATTATTATTTTTAAACATCTCGAATTTTATTAATTATATTGATATCTTATATAATTCAAATCTTATTTCTATTAAAGATCTATTAAAGAATATAATTTTATTAATAATATTTTAAATGCTTTCATGATTTTAATTGGCTAAAAAAATTAAAATTAAAATCATAATAACGAGCATCGTTATGTAAATGTCTACAATATCATAAGTGATACTTTAATGATTAGTTTGGTGCTTTAAATTGATGTGAAACATAACCATGTGTATTGATAATAAACTATACTTTAATGTGCAACGTACGCCATAAAAAATACTAATAACATTGTAAATGTCTACAACATCATAAGTGATACTTAAATGACTAGTTTGGTCCTTTAAATTGATGTGAAACATAACTATGTGTATTGATAATAAACTATACTTTTGAAACTAACCCTATAATAAGACTTAACAACCAAAAAAGTTGAATTAATTAAAATTTACTCTATAAAAAATAATATTAATAGTTACATGATAATTTAAATAAATACTAACTATGTATAAGTTTTGGAATGTGCATGTAATTGATACGATATAATTGATACGACACCATCAACTATGTGTTGATCCAATATGAAATAAGATAAGATTGATTAATTAAAACAATTCAATTATTTAATTAAACAAACCTATAATTAATTTGAAATAAATCTGCAGGTAACATCAGTTTGAGATTATTTTTTTATATATAATTTAAGTTGACTTATTTAAAAAAATCATTTAAAAATTAAAAGTAAAAAAATATATAAATTGCAAATGTACATATATATATATATATTTGAAAACATAAACAAATTAATGTACATATATATTCGAGGCAATTTTTTATTTTCTTCTTTCTTTCTCTTCTTCTCTAATTCGTTTGCACCACACTTTCCCGGCAAACCAAATCAAAGACCTCGTGTGTTCAAAACTCTTGCAAAACATAGTATCATCAAACAAGAGAGCAAATCGGTTTTTAGACTCCAAACTTGATACAATTGCTATAATTGCATTACACCTACATGAGGATACATCAGTTGCACTCACACTAAGTTATAATCACATTAGTTATAAATTTCAAGTAATCAGAGAATGTCTGCACCTAAGATTAATAATAATACAAAAATAATGAAACAAAACAAATAAAAAAAAAGCTAACAATTCATAAAAATCCACCGTGCTATTATAATCCGCTACTAAATTAATAAATAACAAAATAATATAATTGAGAAGGAAATGCTAATATTTGATCAAATAGCCAAATAAATAAAAAAAATTAAAAGAAAAAAAAATATTAAAAGAGACTAAGATTGCAATTAGAAGAGGGAAAATTAAGGGATTATCCCAAGAAAGACTGAGAGAGTGAAATAGTTTCGAGTATAAAACTTAGTTTATATTATTTTAAAAAAAATGAACTTCCCTTTACACGATTATGGCGATTATTTTGCGATTCAAAATAACTAAAAAGAAGAAAAAGATAAATAGATAAATAAAGAAAAACAAATATACATTAACAGAATGCAAAAGAAAAAAAAAAGAAAAAAAGAAAGGAATGTTTATTTTCATGTTGTTTTCAATTGGCTTGACAAAGTCAGAGTCTCACTCCTCTCTGTATCCTTGCTAGTCTCAATCTGAGGCAAGGTAGTTAAATATATGGTTTGGGGTTTGAATGAGAGAGAGAGTTAATTGTGGAGGCGTACGAGAGGAGACAGAAATTATAGAGGCCTAATAGGAAAGGAGACAGGTCGATCAAGAAAATGCATCCATAGTAAGCTCCTAGAACCATTTTATATCTATAGAGTCTAAAATATGCATCTCTTGTGCGTCCCCCCACTCTACATCGATCATAATACCTACCATTCTTTCTTACAAATTCATTTTCTCTTGTACATTGACTTATTGTCTCTAAAATTATTTTTTCTATGTCGTGAATTTTCTTGAGCCAACATTATAGTTGAATTCTCACTAGACTTTATCACAGAATGGTGAACCTCCCTCAGCTTTTTAACCCTCAATGCCCTAGACTATACCTTGCTCCCATTAAGGAAATAATCCATTAAAAGGATCCGGTTCTTTACATGGTCATAGTTCTCACCAAGTCCCATTAAAAACTGTATAAACCTATATTCATTCTCAAGTTCTGTTATATTCATTAATCTCCCTTTTAATCTGATACAATAATGACCCATTACTTTTTTTAAATTGTTTACTTAATTTCTTCCAATGATCCTTAGCATAAGTAATATACAAAAAGTCCTTACCAATTCTTTTGAAATTGAATTCAAAATCCATAAAAATACTATAAATATCAACTTGCATCCATTTATCAATTAATGGAGAACTAAACACTGCTTTTATAAACTCTAATTTGTTATTAGCTCTTAGGACAATGATCACAGTTCTACTTCAAAATAAGTAATTATTACCAATTAAAGTAATGCTTACCAATGAAAATTTTGGAGATTAAGCATTTAGTTGAACGCTTATTCCTTTTCTCTGGTCTCGTGATTCCTTCTTGCATTAGCTACTTTCTCGGTCATAATTTTTTATTGAAAAAAAAAATAGAAATCTAGGTTGTTTTTGGTGTATGGTTATTGATTAACAATCAATACTCAAGATTTTTCGTATATAGTTACTGATTAACAATCAATAAAACTCGGAGTTTATTGCAGCTCTGATACCATAAATAGGTTTAGAATAAAACTTAAAAAAAATATTCAAAGGAGAAAATCTCATAATATTTGATTATGAGAATGGTATCTTTACAAGAGTCTTAGCTAAAGCTATATAAATGTAAAGAGTTAAATTAAAATTGATAATTGCCTAAGTTGAATATTGTATCTCTTAAAACCTATCTGGAGCTGTACAATAGTGATGAGTTAGCAAAATAAAGTAAATTACATAAATATACTTTACAAAGTAAATTCATTATGAAATATATATTTTAATAAATAATTTTTATATTTGAATCTATAAGACATAAACTCAAAACCATCATCTCATTCTCCATAAACATTAAAAAATAAGAGAAAATAACTCGAAGAGTTAATTCAATTAATGAGTAGATTTATTTGTTACTTTATTGACTAAAATTTTATTTTTCGTAAAAAGAAAAGAATTAAATATTATTCAAATGGTAAGGTACACTTGAGTTTAATAGATGAATCCTATGAGATCAGAGGTTCAATTTGTGAAAAAAGCAATCACGCAGAGAAATAATAAAAAATTTTTAAACGAGAATCATACCTAAAGAATATGGAGATACTTGTTATATAAAAATTATTTTATTTTTACACGAAAATTAATTTATATAGCTTCTTCACCTTTCTAACTTAACAAGTTTTGAGCTATGGGTACCGACTTAAATTTCGATTGTCCTGACACTAATATTTAAATAATTGAAAATTATAGTTGGTTCCAATATTTTTGATTAGTTTGGTTTTAAAAAATAAGAATTGAGATTGATCCATAAACTATCGGTTCTAGCCCAATTAAGAATTAAATTATCTCAAGTCGGTTTCGGTCTAATACGGAGTCGGAATTAGACTCTGGCCATGCCTACATGTTGTTACTAAAAAAAGAAACTATTAGAGATGGAATTAGGCCAGAAGAGTTGTTATGCTTGTTCCATTGGAATGAAGAACGTTAAAAAGAAGAAAAATGGAGTTTATTAACTTAAAGTTCAGCTTGTTGTATAATTACTGGAGAAGAAAAATGGACAGGACGAGAGGGAACGAGATAGTTGGCCCCTAGCATCAAGCCCTGCCTTTTAGCTTTTAAATGGCAATGCATGAATGATGGACAGTGACCGACCCTTCTCTAATTTTCTCCTTTCCACACAAAGCGGAGGTCAGCCTCTCTCTCTCTCTCTCTCTCTCTCTCTCGCCAACCAGCCAGCCATCTTTCTTGGACCTATCTCTTCTCTCTCACAAAAGGAAATTTTTTTTCTCATTTTTTACATTTTTTATTATTATTTTATTTTTTAGATCAATAATTAATTGAATTACATCCGAAAAAAATCCAGATTAGAGGTACGCTTTCTAGACACACATAATACAAAAGATTCCTGATTACAGCAAGAACACCAACAAATTCTACCTGTAAAAGATTGATGGAGATTGACTCATAACATAAAGGTACATCATCTTTTTTCCTTTTTTTTTTTTAGATAACAATTAAATTTGATTTCTTGTTTTATTTTTTTAATCTTGTAAGGAAAAAAAAAAAAGAAAAAAGAAAAACCCAAAGATTCTGATTGTTTCAAACAATGGTGCTTAAGATAAACTGTGCATGAAAAAGCCATATTAAAAAGGGTTTTTACTGTTTGATTCACCTTTTTATTTTTTACTCGTAAATAATCATTTGTGTTTTGAATTCTTTAATTCTTTTTCTTAATTAATACAATAATGTTAAATTACCTTAAAATGGACGGTCAAAAAGTAAAGCAGGCTGTTTCAAGAAATGTCTGAAAACAACAGTTGCAATTGACAATTAAACAAGAAATCTGAGGAATTTTTATGCAAAACGCAGTTTTTTAATGCTAGTTATTGATTGATCTTTGATCTATTTTTCTTAATTCGCTTAATAATAATAATAATAATAATAATTGTTGAAAAAAATTAGGTAATTAATAATAAATAAAAATGCCAATTAACAGTTCATGAGTTCTTGTGGGGTGGCTTTTGTTGCCGTTAGTGATAAGCACGCCTGGCACTCATCATTCCCTCCAACCCTTCTCTCTTTCTTCTTTTAGCTCTTTTTTCTCTATCTAGCTTTTCTCTATCTAAACTTCATTTGCTATTCTTCTTCTTTTCCTTAACCCCACTTCTCTCTCTCTCTCTCTCTCTCCCTCAATCTCTTTCACCTTTTTCATTTCTCTCTTTACGATCTTTTCTCTGTCTGTGCTACTACAGGAAAATTAAAAAAAAAAAAGATAAAAAACTGGTTTCCTCCTAGTTTGGATATTAGATTGGATCTGAGTTGCTTCTTTGTTGGAGTATCTTCTTCAAATATCAGGTATTTTTGTTTAAAGATTCTGAATTTTATACGTTTCTATTCACTTAGAATATTTTTAGCATCTGGGTTTTGAATTAAATTTTCCTTTGCTAAATCCAATAAAGTTCTCAAAAGTGGACTGTTTGGTTTGGTGGGTGAGGTATGGAATTGAACGTTGGATTTTGTTCTATTTTTAATTGTTTTTTAATGAATTGGTATTGGAAGTAGCAAAATTTTATTCTTTATTGTTTGGTTTGTTTGTATCCGGTTGTGGGTGTTTGATCTGGTTTTCGGACAGCTCTTTTAGTAATGAATTCTGATTGATCTGCGTCTTGTTAGCTTGATTTTGTTTTTTGATTTGAATCAAGGAGGCAATGGTGGGCAGAATGATCAAGCTGATTTTTTTGTTCGTTTTATGTGAATTTTAGACAAGTATTGCACTTTTCGATGAACATGGTGTTACTTGATTTCTTTTTTTTTTTTTTTTTTTTGGGAAACCAAAGACATTTTTTTTTTTTTTTTTTTTTTGGGAAACCAAAGACATCTGGTTTTAGAATGTTGGATTTCCAATATGAGTCTAGTTGTTATTATATTATTATTATTATTATTGTTATTCTTATGCAAGTATTATTTTCCGAAATTTATATTTTTTCTAATAAGTTCATCTTTCTTACTTCTTGTTTTGATGATTGGCTGGTGTCTCAAATGTTTTTTGGCTTTGATTTCATCCACTGATGCAGGTACCTTTCATTTTTCTACATATGCAAACCTTACCTGGATTCATTTATTTAATGAATTGCATTGTTGGTTTCTAAGAGCCCTTTGTAGTCTAATTTGTTTACAATGTCATTTATCGGTCAGTTGCACATACGACCACTACCAGGTGGGTTAATTGAAACATTGAGTGTAATCCAAGACCCTACTTAGATGGGCAAAAACTTTGTCGGGTTAATGGGACGACAGCACAAATTATGGGAGATGGAACAATTTGGCATTTATTTGAGGCTAATTTCTGATTCCTTATTGCCTGAAATATGTATTGTAGCTTTTGTGGTTGCTTTTAGAAGGGACATATTGCAAGACTTTGAACTTTTGAAAAGATTTGATCTGGAGACATTTGAAACTTCTAATTTTGTGGAAAATTCTTATGGTAAAGTGTCAAATTGGCTGTGAAGCATTGCAATAACTTAAATGGGTATACTCAATTCCGGAATTATTTATGAGAGTTTTCCTCGGAGTAGTAATACGGTTCATTTAGAACTTCTCTACTGAGATCCTATCTGTATGGATAGTTTAAGAGGTTTTTGGAAGTCTTATTGAACAATTTCAGGTGATTTACTTTACTATCTTTGGACAAGTTCTCTGTTGTGATTTGTAAATGTGGGAAGATGATAAGAGCTCTGTTATATTTGCCAATTAGTGGAATTTTGAGGTTTGATTAGCTTACTCAATTCAAGTAGTTTTCATGTTTTACTGCTGGTATTAAGTTTCATACCATTGATTGAAGTCCTGATGAAAATTTTGATAACTAGTAGGAATCAACTTGAAGTGTATTGTAGGCATAAGTACACGTTGTCTTTCAATATTTATCTCTTGTTCTTGTGTTTGATCAACAATTTTTCCCTCTTAACTAAAAGTTTCTGATATCATCTTGCATCCATTTTATAGAGTTATTGCATGGAACAATTCGGTTCGATAATTCATATAGTTGCTTTTATCTTATTTTAGTTCCTCTTTTTTTTCAAATTAATGGTGCCTGTTTTATTTCAGGTGAAAATTTGTTTCTATATTTAAGACAAAGCTGTGGAAGTTCAAATAATTGTACAGAAATATTATGGCTGTTTCCATGAGAGATTTGGATTCAGCTTTCCAGGGAGCTGGACAGAAGGCGTATCCTTCATGAAATATTCATCTTTATGTTATCATATTCACCAATGAATCACTCTTTTTATAGTTTTAGTTTACATTGGTAGTTGCATATAGTAATTTAATGATAAATCAAGAGACTGGGATTCTTGTTGCTGCTGCTGTTAGACTTAGATGTGTAACTCTTTCATTGATCTCCTCAAATAGTACTATCCTTAACTAATATATAGTGGACTTGAAATATGGAGGATTGAAAACTTTCGTCCTGTTCCTGTCCCAAAGTCTTCCTATGGGAAATTTTTGATGGGCGACTCCTATGTTATTTTGAAGGTCAGTAATTTGCTTCCTTTCCATCTGTGTTTCCTATGCATATATGCTATGCATGGCTCCAAGAGGAATAGGCTCCAATCATCGGCTAAATTGTTGGTTTCATTTTGGTCGTTGGAACACTAGTTTTCTTGTGGTGGATGGATAATCAAACAGCAATAATCTTAATCTAGGGCCAGACGAACTGTGTTGCGTGATGATGAGTTGGTTTTATCATTGCTAAAGGTCTTAATGTCTTTTGTGCGTATAGAAACTTTTACCTGAAACCCAATTTCAAAGATTAACTACTATGTTGCATATTTTTCTAGCTACCATTGAATAAGTACATCTATCTATCTATCTATCTATCTATATATATATTTTTTTCTATGGCTACCATTGATAAGTACATTCTAATCTATCATCTATCTATCTATATATTATATATATATATATATATATATATACTAATTATATATATTAATACAGGTTTCACTCTTACATATATATATTAACAGTGTCATTTACATAACTTAATATGTCACGCTATGCTTTATTTCTGCTAAATGACATGCACATATCATCTGTAATCCAAAGGTCCCTCTTATGCAAGTAGGAAGCACTGTCTCCAAAACGCTTCCTGCATTTAAAAGTGAGGCCATTGTGTTTCTAGCGGTAAATTGTTTCTAGTGGTAAATAAGGAGTTGTTTTCTTTATTTGTTTTTATTTTTGTTTTTTTTATTTTAGTTTACAGAAAGTGATAAAGCAAGTAGAGGCAGTACATTTTTTTCATGTTATCAATTTCGATTTATTTTTTTAAAAGCAATTTCTGAAAAAAAAAGGGTAATTTCAATAAAAGTGCTGGCAACTGGTTCCATTGGCCGCTACACCAGTTCTACGATTACCATCTGCGATGGCCATAGGCAGATAATTGTGCTGCAGCCACAACACAACCAGCACTGATATTACTACCAGTATTGCGACACACCTCCACCTGTCCACTATGACTACTCTGCTGTCAACCCATCACCGCCACTATTGCTGCCATCATTCCACCATCAACACTGTGCTATGACTGTCACTTTATTGCTGCTATTGCTGTCACTGAAATTGCCACCTTTATTGCCTCTACTGCATCGATTACTTCGATTGCCAATGCCATATTGCCATCATATGTACTACCACTGCAGCTGTTGTAACTACTGCCAACTTTGCCTCCAGGATATACATGAAAAGAAAATTGTTGAAATCATTTGAAAACTTATGCTAGGGGGAAAATAACTGAGCTGTTGGTTTTGTTTTATTGCAGACTAAAAACTATCCCACCAATTTATTGATTTTCAGTCCTCTGCTTCTTAAAAATTTATTTCGTCTTTCATAAATTTTAGCAGTTACATTTGGTGGATCTTACTTGGATCCACTTCTGGCACCAAAAACATTCATGGAGGTCTTTGTAGTAGCTGTCATACAATTAAAAAGTCTTTGGTCTAAAACTAGACTCAAACTTTTTTACTTTTTCTCACCTTCAGATATACAAATTGTTTAAATATCTTTTCCAAACGCATGCATATACATATGTATTGTTTTTTTTTTCCTTTTCTGTGGCTTTTAGATGTATCAGCTATTAAATTGGACCACTAAAGGATCTCTACTTGATATTGCATGTTTTTATATGAATGAGCTAACTCTTTGCCATTACATTTTTGTTTCAAAAGGTGATTGGCAATTTCATTTCTGTTATACATAAGAGTTAACATTTTAAATTAATATGAATTATTATGATGTGATGTGACTTTTCTCTTTTCAGACAACTGCACTAAAAAGTGGTGCTTTACGTCATGATATTCATTATTGGCTTGGAAAAGATACATCTCAGGTGAGTCCACAAATTTGTAATATTTGTCAACATTGCACCCTGCTCTTTGCTTTGAAACTTGTGATCACAACTCTTTTAAAATAGGATGAAGCAGGTGCTGCTGCCATCAAAACTGTTGAACTAGATGCAGCCCTTGGAGGTCGTGCGGTACAATATCGTGAGATACAAGGCCATGAAACTGAGAAGTTTCTGTCTTATTTCAAACCATGTATTATACCTCAAGAAGGAGGAATTGCATCTGGGTTCAAACATGCTGAGGCTGAAGAACACCAGACACGCTTGTTTGTTTGCAAAGGAAAACATGTTGTTCATGTCAAAGAGGCAAGTCTGTTTGTTTAAGCTTTTCCATGATCATTATGTATATTTGTCTAATTTTAAGTTATCATTTCTGGTGCCTGTGACAGGTTCCTTTTGCTCGATCCTCACTCAACCATGATGATATTTTTATTCTTGATACCAAGTCAAAAATTTTTCAATTTAATGGCTCTAATTCATCTATCCAAGAGAGAGCTAAAGCTTTAGAAGTAGTCCAGTACATCAAGGACACTTATCATGATGGGAAATGTGAGGTAGCTGCCATTGGTAAGTGGCGAATTAGATTAGAAAGTCAAAGATTATAGTGGAATGGCTGTTGCTCTTTCCTCCAGTTTCAATCTGCTTATTTGTCACCTCACAGAGGATGGGAAGTTGATGGCGGATGCTGAAACTGGAGAATTCTGGGGTTTCTTTGGTGGTTTTGCTCCACTGCCTCGGAAAACAACCACTGATGAGGATAAGACTGTGGATTCTCATCCTACTAAGTTGTTCAGGTAACGATCTTTTCTCCTTTTGTTCTCTATTTTTTGTTGTAATTCTATGCTTGTTGTGTATTACATATTGGACAAAAGAAAGTTAGACAGAAATGCTGATACTCCTGTATCCTGCATTAAATTTAACTTTGATGTCAGAATCATCAGATTCCATTAAGTGGTTGACTGACATTTTTTCCTTTCAAGTGTTGAGAAGGACCAGGCACAACCTGTTGAGGCAGATTCTTTGACAAGGGAATTACTGGACACGAATAAGTGTTATATTCTAGATTGTGGACTGGAAGTGTTTGTGTGGATGGGGAGAAATACCTCACTTGATGAAAGGAAGAGTGCAAGTGGAGTAGCAGAGGTATTGATTAGTCTTTTCATATCCAGTATGGACATTTTAGGATACTTGCTTCAATGTCATTGTCTATGCTTATTATTAATCTCACTTATCAGGAGTTAGTCCGTGGAGCTGAGCGACCTAAGTCCCACATCATTCGTGTAATTGAGGGATTTGAGACTGTGATGTTCCGGTCAAAGTTTGAATCATGGCCCCAGACAACTGATGTAACTGTCTCTGAGGACGGTAGGGGCAAAGTAGCAGGTCAGTAACTCTCTCTCAGAGATTTTGATATACTTGCGTTTTGGTGTTCCTCTACTACCACTGATGATGGTATTTCATTTTCACTACGAAAGTGATGTTCTCATAGTTTTTATTTGTTGGGTGATTCTGCAGCACTTTTAAGACGACAAGGGGTCAATGTCAAGGGTCTTTTGAAAGCGGCTCCTGCAAAGGAAGAGCCTCAGCCATATATTGATGTCACAGGAAATCTGCAGGTGCTGTATTTATTTTCCTAATCCTAATAGTTTATTGTAGGGACTCGGGGATTTTAGGTGTAGTAGGAGGCTGGTTATTGTTTTATTTTTCCTCTTCTAATTTTACATATCTGTAGTCATACAATTTACAAAATTAAAATCTTAGCAAGTGAGCCTACAATTTTTACACAAGGAAAAATTAACTAGTGGACTGAAGGTTTTTGTTGTTTAAATTTTTTTCTTCATCAAAAGTTCTGTTACATTGCTTTTCTTGGATCCAGTATCCGGTATCTGGTTCTTCCCTCTCCTGGCTCTACCAAAGAGGCTGGATGCGTTTTCTTGAGCCCATAAATGGTTACAGCTGCAAGTTTCTCTATATATGAAATGCTTCTTTAGCATTCTGTAAATGTATCTTTAATACACTTGCTATCTATGATCAATTTGTTATGCTTCCTTGTCCATCTTGTATTTCATAATCCATGTCCTTTCTGCAAGTAACACCTTGAACATGTAGCTAATTATGGCACCAAATTTGGTTCCACAGGTTTGGCGTGTGGATGGTCAGGAAAAGGTTCTCCTTCAAGCTTCAGATCACTCAAAACTTTATAGTGGAGATTGCTATATTTTTCAGTATTCATATCCAGGAGAAGACAAGGAGGAATATCTTATCGGAACATGGTTTGGAAAGAAGAGTGTTGAGGTGAATTTCAAGAATTTTCTGCTAATTTTATTCATTTCTTTCTCCACCGTTTTCTGTTGAATATGCACTCATATGCCTGTCGTGAAAGAGGCTCAACCAACAATTCTGAAAGATCCTTCTCTTGATCTTTCCCCACTATGGATGTTGGCTTGTTTGGATAACATTAAGACTTTAGCAAAATGTTATCATATACAATTGGGACCTCAAACTGTCTATCATTAGGGAGAAGAGACAAGCTAGCCAAGATTGCTTATACATTAATATTATTTATGGATTTCAAATTTTTTCGATTGCCTCATGATTATGACCTGAGTGATCTTAGTTTATTTTATTGTTATCTTTTTTATGCAAGTACCATTCTATAATCCAGCAGTAGGCAAAGTTCAGCTTTTCTATACCTGACATGGTTTCTAAAATGTAGCAGAAAAGAATAGATGACACAAATTTCATTTGCTCTGTTTAGACTTTTTTTCAGATGAACTATTTGGGTTTGCATGCTGTGAGTGGTGGCCATCTTTTTAATATTTCTTATGCTTTTTGATGTTCATTATCTTGACACCATTAGACATCAATCTGGACTTTTTGTTTCTCAACCTTTTGTTTTGCTTATTAGGTAATTTAATTCATTTGATGAGCAATAAAGATTCATCCTCCCAGGCCCCTGCTTAATTAAGTGGATATATCAGTATAATGCCTTTGTGGATCCTTTGGTTTTGTACCTCTTCTTGTTGTCATGTCATTATTCTTTGGACTCTCTTGCTATCTGTGGGAAGTGGAAATTTCTAAATACAAAATAGCGCTTGCAGCTAAATTTGTGCTCTTTCTGTTAACATGTAACTGGAACCAACAATAAATTTGGTTCAGCATCAGGCTTAATTACGTATGGTCTAAATTCTAGCATAGGCATCAAATCTCTGTGTTCACTTGTATTCGATAAAGAAACTATCATCTGGTGAGGATGCATCTTTAGCGTCTTGGATTGACACAGAAATTTTGTTCTTGGCATAAGGCTTAATTTTGTCCTTAAAACTGTTCAGTTTTAGTTGCTTGTTTTTCTTCCTTGTGGTATTTCCACTCACACACATATATGCTTGTGCATGAAGCAGGATTAACGCTTTGAGCAGGCTGCTATCATTCTTCTGCATCGAACAAATATTCATATACTTGGACACAATACAAATGTAGATATTGATACTAGATTATAGTGCTGTCAATACCATTTCTTGTAAAAATGTATACCAATGTCTGGATAATGGTTTGCTTTGTATATTTATTAGATACTTATATTGCATTTCACATTGAATTATAGGAGGAAAGAGCTTCTGCTATTTCACTTGTGAGCATGATGGTTGAGTCATTGAAGTTTGTTCCTGCCCAGGTGATTTTCTTTTGCTTCTGATTGCGCTTTTAATCATGATGAGATAGTTGTAGTTTCTGGGGCCTCATTCTGATCCTATTTTACAATTTGTTTCTTAGGCTCGCATCTATGAAGGAAATGAACCAATTCAGTTCTCTACAATCTTTCAGAGCTTTATTGTTTTTAAGGTTTGTGGGATTTTGAGATATTGTGGAAGAAACTTCGATCAAGGTTTCATTCATTGATTATTGTTTAGCCTTGACCTCTTTTCAAAATTTACTACCTAAGCAACTAATTTAAAGTTTATCAGGGTGGTCTTAGCACTGGATATAAGAATTATATTGCAGAAAACGAACTCCCAGATGAGACATATCAGGAGGATGGCCTCGCATTGTTCCGAGTTCAGGGTTCTGGACCAGATAATATGCAAGCAATACAAGTTGAACCAGTATGTCTTTTTTATTTGCTGCTGGATCTTTTTTGATATATGATATTACATATTTATGTTGGAGCTCTTAGTTTGAAATTGGGGAATTCTTAGTTTGATACTTATTTTGATACCTGCAAATTTTTTATTGCAAGCGGGATGCATGCAGTCTTTTCATTATTGTTTTTATATTGTGGTAGAAGTGACTGTGGTTGTATCACATTTCCCTAAATAAGTTTCCTGACTTGTGTGCATTCTCCCATTTGGTATAAAAGCAGGAGGAAGTGATGAATAAAAATAACTCATCACTCCTTGTCTACTTAAGTAAAATTATATAACTTTTTAGATTACTTATTCAAATAAATTGAAACAATGAATCTAGTTCCACTGGTGAAATTCACACTATGACTTGTCCTTGTTGTTTTGGCGAATTTAATGAGAGTGGATTGAAGAGGTTGGAATATGTCTTGTACTTGATGGAATATTTAGTTTGCTTGTTAAATTTGTACAATATTTTAGACATTGTGATTCATCTGTACCATATATGATACTGAAAAACTGGCATTTAACTTCTTCAGTACGTTTTTCTGTACATTATAAGCTGAAAGTGAGCCTTAACCATCTATTACACCTTTGTCTAAAAGCACTATATTATTTGTAACTTACTACTCCAAAAAACACACTCGTGGAAGTACCTTAGTATCACACATCGTCCACTCACATATGGATGCAAAGTCTCTTGTAAGGGAAAAATTTATCTATACAAGGTGTATACATCCAACAAATCCAATAATAACATTTGGCGTAAATAAACGTATGGTATCTTTTCGATGGGGGAAGTGGACAAACAATAACAAAGAGTGACAGTTTCAACGGCAATCAGCTACTAGCTGGGTTTATGCGGGTGTCCACCTAGTGTAGGAAAATGTTTTTCCTTTCATAAAAGATATAGACTAATATTATGTTCAAACTACTTTGTTTGCTTAATTACAGCAACCAGAATGGAGATAGCAGTAAATTAGGTTGTCCCCCAAGTTTGGTCTCATGCAAATTTAGACTTGGTAGCTGAGCATCCTTAGGGATGGTAACAAAAAGTGAATTTATACACTACCCAATTTACAAGAAAGAGTGTACGGAATATCTTTTATAGTTTATAAGTAACTAAGATGATCAAACACAATCATAGTGTTCATCCACCCTTAACCGATACATTCTTCTGTAGGTTTCCTCCTGATTTGCAACATTTAAATCTTTTTAGGGTGAAGACTAAACCTTTTCTTTTTTCCATTGCTCATAGATGGGTTGACAAAGCACATCTAAGGGGATGTTCTTTGGTGGCGTAGATTGTCTGTGTATATTATGGCTTTAATAGACGAAACCCTACTTGGTGCTAAAAAGAAGTTGGCTATATGGAAAAGCACCCTAGAAACTGTTACTAGTTGTTACTAATGATATTAAATGACAATGACGTATATAATTTAAGTCTTAATCACAGTTTTGATATCAGGATGGATCAATCGGTTAAACCAGTAAAACTGGGATCGGTTGCAAGGGTGGATAAGTCTACTCCTGAAACCTGTTTTAACTCAAACCCTCTGAGAACTGGTATGCAGGCTAGTCAACCAAAAACTTGCGACCTGTGAACAGGTTAGCCGGTCCAAGCAGTTTGTTTTTGTTTTTGACAAAAAAAAAATTTTAAAAGAAAACTATGTCTTTTTGGTGATGGAAAGCAAAAATTTTATATTTAATCTTTGGAATGATTTGTTATGACTTGAAAATTTTTATATTTAAATTTAATCACAGTCAACATTTTTTCTTTGTGTAATTTATCACAGTAATATGAAATCATTCTCTATGGACCCTTAATTTGTTGCAGATACTTTCAACTGAATAGTGATATAGCAACATAAAACACTTCTCAAGTAATATTGACAACACCAACATCTGTGCATTTGACAATATAGCTGCTTGCATTGTATGGCTTGACACTCTGCTATGATTGGCATATACTTATTAATCTATTTGCTAGATGAAAAATTTATTAGAAGGCAAAAAAGTGAATATCTTGAGGAACATAAATCATCCTCCTGAGCAATACGCGTCTTGTTATTACTAATTCTTGGCAGCATCATAAGTGATCTCATTCCTATGGAGTTCACAAAACTGCCATGTAGAAAGGTTTGTGACACTCTAGGTGTGATAAATGCACTTTTTGGATATGAATCTTTGTTCTATTGGATATGGATCTAGGTTCTGTTTTTATGCACTTTCTTTATGTTCACTATTGTTGAGTATATAGGATGATATTTACTCCCTTATTTCTTTTTCGATTGAACTTTAATCAGGTTGCATCATCACTGAATTCCTCTTACTGTTACATATTGCAAAATGACTCCTCTGTCTTTACATGGTCTGGAAACCTTACAACCTCAGATGACCAGGAACTTATGGAAAGGCAACTGGATCTGATAAAGGTATGATGAATCCTCTTCATGCTTTCTTTAACCAGATTGATTTAATATAAACAGATTCTCCTGGAATTATTTGCGTAGGAAAAAATATGTAATGCACAAATGGAGCATGCTGCAGTAGCCAATAGACATTTAATGTGCATAACAATGCTGTTTCTTGTACCAAGGCTATAATTTAATATACATCAAATGATTAGAACCGTATCAGGGAGCTTTGAACTTTCCTTTTTGGTTTATTGTGGGTCTTAATTATTATGTTTTCTAAATTCAGAAATTGCAGAATTTATTTTTATGTTGTAAAAATTCGTGTCTGGTGGAATAAAGGGTGTGTCTGATGGAATAAAGGGTTGAATTATATGTCTCAGTTTTAAACTTGGTTTCAGTTCTTGCAAGAAAAAGGAAAACTAGTGTTGCATTGTGTATAATTCTGGATTCCTGGTGAGCCCCATTTAATGCCCAAGTCATTTGTCATGTGGTGTAATTGTGTCTTTGTTAGTGTGGCAGCAAAAGACCAATCTCATCTTGACTTAGGAATATGTGTGTGTGAGAAGAGATAAACAAAGGGATTATTTGTTCATGATTATACTTGTATTTAGCATCACATTTGTCTTACAAAGATTCTCAGCTACATTTGTTTTATGAAATTTATGTAGGACTTTTGGAGTTGGAGGTATTACATCAATTTTCAACTTTGCTAGAAACCTGTAATCTCTTCCAATTAATTAGAGAGAAATGATTGGTCTCCTTTTACATGTTACCATTTAAGAATGTGGGGATTTTTGAGTCCTCAACTCCTCATTAATCAATATGGTGGGAGTTTCCACCAAAATGGTGAGAGTTATGGAAATTGAGAGTGTCAGCATGTTGTGTAGTGCACAGCCGATTTGGCATCCTATCAAAAGAAAAAAAAAAAAAAAAGAAAACAGTACTGATGTCATAAATTCAGGGTAACTTTTATTTTCTTTTGTTTTTTTCTTAATTATAATTTAGCCTAACCCTAGGTGTGACAAAGGAACAGCTAGGATAAATTGCTACATGTAAAAGGGTGTCTTGGTGCCTAAGGCTTTGGGCATCATCGGCTGTGCTGATCACTTCAACTGAAATTTACGTCAATATCTACTTGCGTCTTTGAATTACATATTTCAAATTAATCTCTTATGCATAAGGAAGCTCCTTTCGAGCTCATGTTACCTGGTATTATCTGTCCTAAATCATTCCTTGTATGCTTGTAAATTGTCTGCAGCCAAATGTACAATCCAAGACACAAAAGGAGGGTTCAGAATCTGAGCAGTTTTGGAATTTACTCGGAGGAAAATCTGAATACCCTAGCCAAAAAATTGTTAGGGAAGCTGAAAGTGATCCTCATCTTTTCTCTTGCATTTTCTCGAAAGGTAAGGAAATTGCATTTTTCATTGGTAGACTCATTTTGCTACCTTGTAGTTCAGTTTTTATCTTGTTGAAATTGTAAAATCAGATTTCTAATCCTTTCTCTTTCTTCTATGGTTTTAATTGCTACTGGAACAAATGCTGATCTGCAGGAAATCTGAAGGTATGTGTACTTAAAAGTTTTCTATTTCTTACCCCACAAATATCCTGAATTTTGATTTAAATCATGCCTCTTTTCAAAAATATTCACCCCCTACTGTAATCTTCTTGTGTTTATGGATTCTGCAAGCAGCAGTTATTCAGATGCCTTGTGTGAAAGGTACTATATGATAAATTATGCTTTGTGATGATAAATTGCGTTTGTTATTGTAGGTGAGTGAGATATACAACTTTACCCAGGATGATTTGATGACTGAAGATATATTCATCTTGGATTGTCACTCTGAGATCTTTGTCTGGGTGGGACAACAAGTTGACTCGAAGAGCAAAATGCTTGCTTTTAGTATTGGGGAGGTATGGTTTTACTATATTCTAGCTGGGTTAGTACTTTGTTTTTGACAGTTAAAGCATGAAATGTTGCGCTATTTTGTTTATGGCTTTGTAATCATTTGCCTAAAGTTGAATGCTGTTCTGACTAGTTTGCCATTTTTCTCAAACCTGAATGAAATTTAACATGGATAAGCTGCTAGGTGTGTTGATTTGATTGTTTTCTCTGATATACTAACAATATCACCACTTGTGTTGATTTTTCTTTTTGCTCATTTTCAACAGAAATTTCTTGAGAATGATTTCATGTTAGAAAAGTTATCTCGTGAAGCTCCAATATTTATTGTTATGGAAGGGAATGAGCCACCTTTCTTCACACGTTTCTTCGCATGGGACTCTGCAAAATCTGCTGTGAGTTAAATTATAAATATTATAAAGCAGTTAGTGTAATTTTTGATTTCTATAAGAGATTTTTATGTCTTCATTTGGATCCAGATGCATGGAAACTCATTCCAAAGGAAACTTACAATTGTTAAAAATGGCGGTCCTCCAGTTCTTGATGTAAGATGTTTTCAAATTGCTTTTGAAGTTTCTTAGCATAATGAGTAAAGCCTTTCTGAGTTTCATATCCACATAATGAACATTTTGTATCTATATTGTTAGTTCTTTTATCAAAATTTTTTTGAATAATTAGATATTTCTGGAAGCATGTTTTATTCAACTTCAAATATAGATCTATGGTTGAAGTGAAACTGTGATGCACTTTAATTGAAGTATCAAATTTTTGGTGTCTATTATGACCTGGAATCAGATAAACATTAGAATAATAACAATAATAACAATAGTAACATGCACTAGCGTCTGAAGTTTATACAAGGATATGCTGTTGTACGAGAGTCAAAGATAAACTATAAAATGAATAGAATGCTCAACATTATGTGATGCATTTGCATTTAGACTTATTTCTGCACATGTCTATTTGTCTAGTGAAGATTTGTTTATGATTGAAAAGCTCCTGCTTGATTACTTAAATAACAGAATAAACTTTTAAACATCTGAGACAGGATCTATCTATCTTCTATTCCAAGTAAATAGATGATTAGTGGTGTCCCATAGACCATAGGGTTTATGTATCTACTTTTTACTGCCATCAGAACTGTCAAGTATCTGGTAGTTTCTCATTAGATCAAGAATCTATTTACACTTTTCATGATCTTAATCCAGATATGCTGTTCTTGCCACCATACAGTTTATCATTTTTTTTGTTTCTGATTGCATAAAATGATACATGGTTAGAAACCCAAACGAAGAACACCTGTATCTCATGGAGGTCATGGAGGACGATCTAGTAGCGTGCCAGACAAATCTCAGCGTTCCAGAAGCATGTCTTTCAGCCCTGACCGAGTTCGTGTGAGAGGCAGGTCTCCTGCTTTTAATGCACTAGCTGCAACTTTTGAGAACCCTAATGGCAGGAACCTTTCAACCCCACCACCGGTTGTTAGGAAGGTTTATCCTAAATCTGTGACCCCAGATTCATCAAAAATTGCGTCCAAGTCTGCAGCTATAGCAGCACTTAGTGCAAGTTTTGAACAACCTCTTCCAGCTCGACAAGTTATCATGCCACGCTCTGTCAAAGGTATTTAATCATTCAAGTGTTATGATGACTAATGAATTTGTACTATATATCCATTTTTTCTTCTGCATGAATTTGATATGACTGCTTTTCTTGTTTGAAGTGAGCCCTGAGATACAGAAATCAACACCTGAGAAATCAACACCTGAGTCAAACAATATGGAGAAAATGAGCAGCAGATTAGAATCCCTCACCATACAGGAAGATGTTAAAGAAGGTGAAGCTGAAGATGAGGAAGGACTCCCAACATATCCGTATGAACGCCTTAAAATCAATTCGACAGATCCTGCTACTGAAATTGATGTGACAAAGCGAGAGGTAAGCTATGAACTATCGGCAAATCATTATCTGAAGCATAATGCATTTATGGAACTGCCTTAAGATATATATTTCTCTTTAATGCCTGCAGACTTACCTCTCATCGGCAGAGTTTAGGGAGAAATTTGGGATGGCGAAGGATGCCTTCTATAAGATGCCAAAATGGAAACAGAACAAGCTTAAAATGGCCCTTCAGTTGTTCTGAGTCTCCTTCATGCCTCTGCTTTTCCTTCAGTTCCCTGCGGCATTAGAAAGCTTATTTGTGAATCTGTACAAATTCTTCCCCAGCCTCAGAAAAGATATATTTTAGCATCTTTAATTGATATTAGATATTCTAAATGCTCCAATTTATTTCTTCCTGCAGTGGGGGAGCACAGTTTCTCAGAACTCAGAAGTGAAAGGGACAGCATCAGTGCATTTTTAGCTGCTTCTGCTCCCAGGAAGCTTGTTTCATGATTGATGAACAGAACCAGATTTTTTTTTCCCAATTTTTTTTTTCTTTTTCTCAATCTGGTGGTTTGGATGTCTAGCTTTATAAATTCCCCTATTTTTGGTTGAGTTAGTTGATTGGTATTCTTTATGGTCACAGGTTTGTTGTGAGCTTGCATTTTTTTTTTCTCATTTTTCAATTGAAATATTGATTTATGTAGTGACTAGGCGCTTGAGAATTCAGACAGCTTAGGATGTATTTTACAACTGAGGATGGAAGTGTGTACAGCAGAGTGTAAAAACCAGTCCACTCATCATTTGTTTTTAATAAAAGTGTGTTTTTTTTTGTTCTTTTACAATATTCTTTTTATGTTCTTTATCTTCCCCATCTGAGCTTTATTATGATAAAAAGTTCTTTTACAATATTCCTTTTATGTCCTTTATCTTCCCCATCTGAGCTTCATAGTGATAACAATGCAGGGACTGGACGTCAATATTTCAACGCCATTTCCTAGTGTTTACATGTAGAAAAATGTGTTATTTTATTTATATTCAATAATTACTGGTGCAGTGATGTTTTATATTGAAATTATTAGCAAAATAAAATTATTAGTAAATCTTAATTCTAAGTTCTCATTTATTAGCAAGACGCAAGTCAATCCAAAGTGAAATTTTTAATAAAAAAATTACCATTCTAAATCTTAAATATCAGTCTCTTCTTAAACGGGAAATGCCATGATTTAATAAAATATTATTTTTTTATTAAAAAAAACTAAAAGCTGAATCAATAAAAAATATATCCAATCAAATTAGACAAACATAAAGGAAAAAATAATATTTAAATAAAAGAATGTGTTTTTTCTTTTCTTTATCCCTCGTAAAATAAAATTTAAAATCACAATTAAATAATAAAATCAAATATTTAAAAAATAAACTTGAAAAGTTAAAAATTTAAAAATTTTCAAATATCTTATTATCACATGTATTTATTCAAATGAAATAAATTTGAAAAATTTGTAACTTACAAAATTTGAAACGATAGTTAGTCTTAATAAAATATATCCAGTCAAATAAAAACAATATATATTTTTAAGTGAAATTTTTTTTAATTAATCATGACCAAGCTTACTTTAGTATATCTTAAATGTCATTAAGGGTATAATTGGAAATCATATTATTCGTCCTCATTCCCACATTTGTATATAATTAGTTTTTTTATGACGTGACGTTGACTTTATTCATTATTTGTATTCATTCAATTTTTTATGTCATTACTCACTTTTACTTGTTATTTTAATATTCATTTTTATTTTTAATATCAACTATTGATTATAATTTTTATTTTATATTATCTAGATTTTTATAATGTTAAACCAAATTTCATATAAAATTAATGTGAATATAACGGTTAATTAATGAAACAATAACGTGTATACACACACATTTCATTTTAAATTTGCAACTTAGAACAATTGAGAAATAAAATAATTGAATAAACTTATTAATTGACCAATATCGGATCTTAGCATGATTTACTTTGTAATTTCTTTTATTGACTTAGCTTTAGTCTTTTTTTTCTTTTTTCTTTTTTATCCATTGAACATCAAATTTCATTAAATTATGGTCTTTCAAATTAAAGAAGAGGTTGATTTTTGAAATTCAAATTGATAAATTTTTTAATATAATTTATTTCTTATTATATGTTGAGTTATGAGAAAAGTTTTATTTTTAATAATAATTTTATTTTTTATTTTTTTTTCGTTACTAAATTAATTTGTAAATGCAATCAATTTAATTTAGTAAGAGATTTATACCTCTCTTGCAATAAATAGATGACCTCTTAATGATGAAATATTTTTAATACTAGAATTATATATTTTTGTTTTATGTTACTTTTTGAGTTTCAAGATTTGTGTGTATGTTTATATATTCATTTATCTAATGCACTGGTAAGTAATATTGTCACTATAGCCAAATGATTACCATTATTAATTCATATTAGCTTCTTTTTTTTTTTTTCTTTTACCTAGCAGTAAAAAATAATTTATTATTATTTTTAATTATAGTTATATATAAATATTGATTTAAGGCTATAGACAGGGTTGTGGATTGAGTGATGGTTTGATTTTCTTTTTGAAAATCTATCAGATTTTAAGAATATGCATTTATAAATTAGATATTGACGAATTAAGTATAGAAATTAAGTTAAACTTTATTTTGAGACTATTTCATTATATAAAAATAGAATAAAGTACATATAAAGTAGCACTACAAGTAGCTTGTACAGTAAAATATAATACAAATTAACCAGTTGTATTTATTTTAACCTAAATAAAAACTCATGTTTTAATATTACATAGATAAAAAAAAATTAAAAGAGACAAAAAAATAGAATATAATCAGCATAGTCAACATACAACACACATCATAAATAAGACTAGAAACATACAATAATAAATAAATTACTTAAAAAAAACCAATTTGAATGTTGAAAATCAATCCCTTCTTCAACTGGAAAGGTCATGATTTAATGAAATTTGATTTTGATTGACAAAAAAAAAAAAAAAAAGTACGGGCTATCTATGCAAGTAGCGATTCTTCTCCCCTTAGGCAAATTACTCCTCGCTTTAAAGACCAACTTTAAGGAGATTTGACTTAAAACAGACTCATAACACTTAAAGAGATTTGGGGAGAAAATTCTAATCCAAATCACTAAGATTGGGACTAAATTTTCTTTAATCAAAAATAAGGCTTTTAAAATTATTTCAAAGGGTGGGCCGAAAATATTTTGGAGGCCCAACCCATAATTTATATAACAAGCCAAAAAAACCACAAAAATAAAGGCTAACTAGCTTCTCAACTATCCCAGCCGAGCGCCGGACCCACAACCTCGCCTCTCAAACGAAGAAGGCCGCGCGTACTTATTGCCTACTGTGCACGCGGAAGACCCTGTAGCGCAAGATAGCCCGGCCAAAAGAGCGAGAGCAGAGAAAGTTAGGCTCCCAGTGCAAAAGTCTGGCGGGGAGCCGCCGACGAAAGTTCCCCAAAACAAATGGTCCGTCTTAATTTCTAAGTTCTCATTTATTAGCACTAGACGGCAAGTCAAATCCAAAGTGAAATTTGTGTCCATAAAAGAAATTACCATGTGCTAAAGGTACTCTAAATAATCAGATCTCTTTCTTTAACGGGAAATCCATATTTATAAAATATTATTTTTTTTATTATAAAAAAAGACTAAAAGCTGAATCAATAAAAATATATCCAATCAAATACCGAGCGTTAGAACAAACATAAAGGGGACAAAATTCATTATTCTCTTAAAAATAAAAGAATTGTGTTTTTCTTTTCTCTTATCCCTCGTAAAAAATAAAATTTTAAAAGCTTCACAACTTAAATAGAAGTGCAAATCAAATATTTAAAAAGACTAAAGCTATAGGAAAAAAAGCTTCCAAATATACCTCCTTAATAAAAAATTTTTCACTAGTATCTTTTTAATTCCACATGTATTTATTCAAATGAAATAAATTTGGAAAAATTTGTAACTTACAAAAATTGTCTCTCGCAAACGATAGTTAGTTCTTAATAAAATATATCCAGTCAAATAGATATGACAAACAATATATACTTTTCTTGTGACCCAATTTTTTTTAAGAGTTAATATAGCCCTCGACCGCTTACTCCTATAGTAAATAGTGTGCAGTGAATGAGAATGGCTCATATAAGGGGTTCGTGTGAAATGCATTATTTTATATCGTCCTCATTCCCACATTTGGTCTAAAGTGCGTGCCTACGCAGATAAAATATATATTTGTGACGCGACGTGAATTTATTCATTATTTGTATTCATTTCAATTTTTAGTGTGTGTACTTCGTGTGTCTACTTGTTATTTGTTCCTCTCCCTTCATTTTTATTTTTAATATCAACTATTATTGTAATAATCTCTCTTAATATACTATATAATATTTTGTCCAGATTTTGTCCCATAATGTTAAACCAAATTTCATATAAAATTAATGTGAATATAACGGTTAATTAATGAAACGAAATAACAGTGTATTACACACACATTTCATTTTAAATTTGGCAACTTCGAACAAATTGAGAAAGTAAAGCGAAATAATTGAATAAACTTAATTAAGCCTTGGAGACCAATATCGGATCTGCTTAGGCATGACTCTCTCACAAATTTTCTTTCTTTTATGACTAGCTTTAGGTCCTTTTTTTTTCTTTTTCTTTTTTATCCATTCTCGCAACATCCAGAATCATTAATATGGGTTTTTCAATTAAAGAAGAGTTGATTTTTGAAATTCAAATAAAATGTCATTTTTTAATATAATTTATTTCTGATATGATATATGTTGTGGCCTTTCTGATTGAAAAGTTTTAATTATTTTAAATAATAATTTTATTTTTTATTTTTTTTCGTTACTAAATTAATGTTTGTAAATGCAATCAATTTGACATTTTGAGAATCACCGGATGTACCCATTATACTGCTCCTCTTTGCAATGAACCCATAGTATGACCTCTTAATGATGATATTTTTTTAATACTGTAGAATTATATATTTATTGTTTTTTATTGTTACTTGTGTTGAAGTCCTCCCCCCAAGATTTGTGTGTATGTTTATATATTCATTTTATTCGTCACCCTGCACTGGTATGTAATATTTTGTCACTATAGCAACGTATGATTACCATTATTAATTGCCTTTAGCTTCTTGTTTTTTTTTTTCTTTTTAACCTAGCAGTAGAAAAAATAATTTATTATTTATTATCTTAATTATATCGTATATATAAATATTGATTTAAGGCTATTTAGGACAGGGTTTGTGGAATTGCAGTGATTGGGTTTGTGTGTTCGTGTGTAATGAGACTCTTACTCAGATTATAAGAAGAGAAGTGCAATATTATAAATAGATACTTGACGATTAGTATAGAAATTAGTTTAAACTTTTTTTGAGACTATTTCATTATAATAAAATAGAATAAAGTTAATTATAAAGTAGCACTAACAAGTTAGCTTGTACAGTAAATATAATACAAATTAACCAGTGTGTATTTATTTATAACCTAAAAGTTAAAAACTCATGGGGTTTTAAGGCCCTCCGTTAGTGTACATAGATTAAAAAATAAATTTAAAATAGGACAAAAAAAGTAGATATAATCTGCATAGTCAAAATACAACACACTATCATAAAATAACGACGTTAGTAGCTCACTCCTACAGGTGTGCGACAATTAAGACTACTTTCAAATAAAAAAAGCGAGGCACCTTGTGTGTGAAATGTTTTAAAGGTATTCCACTCCCCTTCTTACAACTGGAAGTGTTCTCCTGCAAATTACTGTTTTGACTCGCAAAAACAAAAATATATGTAATGCTCGCCAAATCAATAATACCTCAAATATATACCGATCATAAATTATATCGATTTCCAAGCATAAATTAAACAACTTCACTCCTTATAATTTATAATTAATTTTGGGTGTTTGTGAAGATAAACTACTCCACTACATATAATAAAGATCTGTTGTAAATCATTTACCTCTACATACCCTCTAAAAATTAATAAAGAAACTTAATAGAATGTTCCCTCCGCTCTGTTTGGCCATTGCTTTGTTGTATAGTTGTTATTTTTAATTTTTTTATTTATTAAAATAGAAGCCAATGTAATGAGAATACTTACCGCGTGTGTGTGAAAAACTGTTTTTTCTTATAAGAAAATATAATGTTTCCTCTCTCCTTATTAGAATCATGATTTTGGTGTGAAAATTTTTTCAATTAATCAATCAGTTAAGGGTATAATTATGTACATTCCCTAATAAAAATCTTTAAATTAATTCAACCGTATTTTCCGGCGACCAAAGAGTGGTTAAAAATTTCACAATTTAATTTTTTTCAATTTCAAGAAATGTTGATTTACCAAAGCATAAGTGTGTTGTGTAAAAACAATATGCTGTGTAATTGGGGTCAAGTTTTAGAATTAAAAATATAAAATCCAACTCTTATAATAAATAAATAATACCAAATGACATTATGAATAATTTTTAAATTAAATTTAAAAATAATTACTAATATAGAGTGTAACTCAGAAATATAGAAAAAACTCTCTAATATTTTTATTTACATAAATATTATTTAAAGTGTGATGCTATTATTTTTTTCCTCCGCTCTTAAATTGATAAATTGACTATTAGAATTTAATATTAGCTTAAGAGAAAAAATAATAATAATAATATTAATTAAATACCACATAATAAATATTAATAGTAAATAGATTAATAATTAATAATACTAAAAACCTAATAAGGGATATGTACTTAAAAAAACTGTTATAATGTGTGAGAGTGGTGAATGACAATATAGCAATAAGACCAACTCCTCAAAATGGTTTCAATTATAAAAGTGTGGTTTTTGGTTTTAAAAACAGTTCTGTAAACGCTAAAGTTAAAAAAAAAAGTCAGAAAAACTCACGCTCCTAATATATTTTTTAAGGAAAAAAAAAATCTAAAGTTAACAAAAATTGCCGGGAACTCTTCCAACAAAACAAAATCCTACAAAATTTAAAGGATTATCCAAACATGGCTTTTTGTGAATACACAAATATATATTATAATTTTAAGATCTCACAATAAAATTAATTTATATCCATTGATCGCAAGAAGGTCTTTATCTTTATTACTCGCAGTGTAAAATTTCCAGATTATAGGTGATAGTAAAATTAGTAGATTACATAGTTTTAGAAGTGGTAGTAAATATAGATAATTATTATAAATATTTAAATTTAGTTTATTTAACTGAAATTTTTTAATGTGCATGACTAAAACTCTCTCTCTCTACGCTCTCCTCGATCATTAAGAATGGCCCCTCTGGAATAATAATATTATAAATATTTCTCCTCTCCACATCCTCAAATTATCTTCAACCATTCGTGAGTGCTAGGTTATCATTACTAGCGCCATTAAACAATATAGATAATATAGAGATGATATGGCGTTAAAACGTATATAATAGAGTGAAAGTCACATATGTATTTTTTTCGTAAAAAACTTTCGTAATTGCTTTTAAAATTAAGAAGTTCCATTTATTTCCATTAAAGTAACTTGCATGAAGTAATTTGTCTTGAAAAAATATTTTATTAGAAAATATTTTTTCAGCCAAGTGTTATTTTCCAACATTTGGTTATTTAGATGCAAGATTCCGTTGGAAAATATTTTCCCCTACTCTTCTCTAGTTCCTCTTATCTTGGATTAGATTTAACCATTTATTTATTTATTTAACTGAAAATTTTTTAATTGATCATGACTAAAATTATTTTAAGTATCTCAAATGTCATTAAGGGTATTATTAAAAATTCCATCATTCCTCTTCATTCAACATTTATATATAGAATTAAAATATAAATATAGAGATATATGGCGTTAAAACGTATAATATAGAGTTGAAAGTCACATATGTATTTTTCGTAAAAACTTTCGTAATTGTTTTAAAATTAAAGTTCCATTTATTTCCATAAAATAACTTGCATGAAAGTAATTTGCTGAAAAATATTTTATTAGAAAATATTTTTCAGCAAGTTATTTTCCAACATTTGGTTATTATATGCAAGATTAGTTGGAAAATATTTTCCCTACTCTCTTCTCTTTCCTCTCTTGGATTAAGATTAACCATTTGTCTCATAAATTGTTGACTATGTTGAGCAATTGATTCCTCCGTTATAAAGTCATCGGGATCAATTCTCATTATAAGATTACGAAGGATGCAACTTGCTAACACCAAATCCATTTGTGTTTCATAAAGCCAACTGGATTTTGAGTCTATGGATTGAAAACATTTCTTCAAAATGCCAAATCCCCTCTCAATAGTAGTTCTCAATGAAAAATGCCGCAAATTAAATAATTTTTTTTTTATTTTCGGAATGATTATCTGCAAATTCTCTTAAATGGTATCGAACACTACGATATAGAGTTATTTTTCCACTTCAAATACCATAACCACCATCACCAGAATATATATATATATTTTTTCCATCTTTGTTAGCTAAAGAAATAATAGTTCTTTTGTTTGATATTTTTTATTTTATATGTAAAATAATTATTCCATGTTATAGTTATTATATCTTATAAAATAATAATTAATTAATTTCACATTTTTTTGAAAATAATTAATTTTCATATTTTTATACTATCAAATGATAGTTTAATTGATTTAATTTATAAATTTGAAATGTGTAATTAAAAATTTTACCAATTAAAATACTTAATAAATAATGTTTTAAATTAAAATTAAAGGTGTCAGATTTTTTTTGGGTGTAAAGTATAACAGTGAATTTATACAACTTGCGGAAACAAAAATATGGATGGATTTGGAAACTGAAAAGGACAAAAGGAATTCTATCCATTTTGGAAATAGTTGGGGTCAGTCGGTTGCTTACTTGCTTTCTCCATCGAAAAAATATTATACTAATAATAATAAAAAAACAGAAAAATAAAAATCATAGTATCACTGCAGCTCTGGAAATGGCAGAGCAAAACAAAAATTAAATATTAAATCAAATCATCAAAAATCAAACACAGAGATCACATAAAGAGCTCCTACTGAATTTCAATAGTGTAGAGGGTTTTACAAATTTGTACAGCAAGTTTGTTCAAGTACAAGAAGAAGAAGAAGAAGAGGAAGAAGAAGAGCTGAGCGCTAGAGGGAGAATTAATGGCTAGGGGCAGCGATAAGATACCGGTGGAGTTGTGTAAAGGCATCAACGGATTCGACAAGGTCGTTCTCCGCGAGACACGCGGCAGTTCCGTCGAGGTAATATATAGACGATGAGCCATCGCCATGGCCACGGCCACGGCCACGGCCACGGCCACTACCATACTCTCATTGCTCTGATTTTTGATTCTTATTTATATGATCTAACTCCTTTCGCTGTTTAATCTGCTTCCGATTTTTCACTTAGGGTTCCTTTGCATTTGTTTGCGCATTAATAAGCTCAGATCTCTTGATGGAATTGTAATTAGTTAATGTCTGAATTTAGCAATTGAATTTAGGTTAAAGTTAAGGATGCTAATCTTATCGGTTCGAATTTTAAACGCTTAATCTTGAAGCTTAACTTTGGATTTGCATGCTATGATTGATTGGCCGAATTATAATGAATGCATTAATATTTCATTAGGGTTTCTTTCTTCTTTTTTCTTTTCTTTTTTTTTTTTTTTTCCCAATTGCAATCTTCTATGGAATGTTTGCGCGTCAGGACTCAGCAATGTGATTTACCGGCAATAGATTTAGTATTTTCAATAGAGAGTCTATTCAGATTTAGAGCTAGAGTTATTTTGATCAGGTTTTAAATATAGGTGCTACTTCTGGTTAGTTTAAACTGTATGCTTGTTGAGTTTTGCTTCTTACCTATTCAGCAATTGCCATTTCCTTAGTTGGCGGCTTTGGTTTTGATAAATCCAAATCTAATGGTTAAGATCTAATAATGAAATTTTAGCTAAATGGAATGGATTCTTAACTTTGTGGATTTCTACAATAATATATGTAAGAAATGCAACAGTCTGACACACATTCCCATCCATCTGCATGATTTAGACATATGCAGGTTGAGAAGGATTAACATGGATGTGGGCTATTCAGTCACAAGTGATTTTCCTAGTGTTTGAAATATTCTCAAAATTTAAAATCTGTTTGGGCTTCTTTTGAATGATCTTTAGAATGAGAATAATGCACCAATAGGAAAAGAAAAATTTATTCCTCTTTTTTTGTTATATGTTCATTGAAAAAAAAAAAAAAAAAATTAGAGTTGATTTTCGCCTTTTGTTAACAGAATAAAAGTGCAACAAACCTTTGAGCTCGGTGTCCTCTGATTTAATGTTTCTTGTCAGACTGATCTGTTTCACTGAGAGTAGCTTTAGCTTAAGCTGCTTCTTTTATTTATCTATAATACCCTGTTTAGAAAGAATAGGATAGAAAGAAGTACATTAGCTACATTTAAATTTATATATAGTTATGTTAATGTAGGTAATGCGTATTACAGACTGGTTATCTTTTCCTTTTCTCCCTTTCCTCTCGAACAGAAAAAGTCTTGCATGTGCATATTTTTTTTTTCTGTTTCACTTCACGATCTGAGCTTGGCATGAGTAGTTTATGTGTGCATGTATCGGTTGGTTGGACTTATCAAGTCGTCATATCCATAATCAATTACCCTTATCTGATATGTAGTATTAGGTAACAAATAGAGTAGAAAAAACTATGCCTTCTATTCATATTTGAACTTAATTGAGCTTCATTTTTTCTAATGTTTGGATATATTTTTTCATAGATTTTGAGCACATATCGGTCTCTTTTTTCTCATATCAAATAGAGGGTACTTGGGTTTGGGTAATGCACTACTTGAAAAGTATAGATGATTGTTTATAGATCTTATAAAATCTTGAAATATTGTTATTCGACAATTCACTGGGTATCCTAATTTCTGGAGATTTTCTAATAATAAAGGTGGACTATCTGCAGCACAATGAATAATAGAACTGTGATAGAACTTTTACTGATGACATCTAAGGGAATCAGTAGACTTGGTTAAGGCCATTAAGCAGCGAGGAAATTGGAGAAGTTTTCCTTATTTAGGTAGCTATTGAATGTCATGAATTTTAATGTTTTGCATGTCTTCTGTACTATTGTCTTGTTTAATTTTTTGTTGTCATCATCTATGGGGTCAGTTCACAAGCTTACTCTCTTTTGCCATAATAGTTCCTTTCTTTTTATAGTGCACCGTTTTACGTATTTTTGTTTATCCAGGTGTATCTATATGGGGGTCAGGTAACATCTTGGAAGAATGACCACGGAGAGGAGTTGCTTTTTGTTAGCAGTAAGGTGCTATGTAATAATCTAGTAGTTCTTGCTTTTGTAATTATTGTGTTTGATTCCACTTTTGGAATGCCATTGAAGTTTTTATATCTCTATATAGTATATCCTTTGCACTACATCAATTACAGACATGTAAAACAGTGTTACTTTAAAAATGTCAAGTACAAATGAAAAATAGAAAATGCATGTGAATGAATTTATTGCACTCTACTAGAGCATTGTGTTTTTCTTTTTATTTTTTTTTTTTGAAATGACCTAACTTTAAATGATTGCAAGAGTACGGAACTCTGTAGTTGACTGGTTGTTGCATTGGGAAAAAATATTAATTGCCAGTAGTAAAGGTACCATGTCATCCTGAGTCAAAAGTCTTCTATATTTTCTCTGGATCCACTGTAAATATGCATCTTTAGTTCATTGGCATTGTGCAACTTTTGGTGCTGCTGATGTTGTGTCATGCATGATGCTTCTTGTTGTTGCCATGCCATAGATGATTAGACAAGAGCTAACTGTACCTATTTACATCTTTCCTTAATTATCTTTTTATTCTTATATCTGTTTATCTGGAGATGGTGAAGTGTAGTAGTGAGATTGTTCCATTGTAACCTTTAAGGTCACATGTTCAACCTATAGAAACAGCCTTCTTAGAGTGCATGGGAAGGCTGCATATTTGACCTTACCTAGATCCTTCAATTTTGAAAGTCTTGTGCACCAGGATGTTCCTGTTGTGTGCTTCATATCCGAGTCATTTTTATTCTCCTAAATGAGCTCAAACTGACTGTTGGATGTATTGTACAGGCTCAATTTAGGACTTCAAAGGCTATACGAGGAGGTATTCCAATATGTTTCCCTCAAGTATGTTCCTATTCCTCTACCTTCCTTCTTACTTGTTTTATCATGTTCGTAGTCATGAAAGCTTGGTCAATATATGCAGTTTGCAAGTCATGGTGGTCTTGAGTCACATGGATTTGCAAGGAATAGATTTTGGAGCATCGACTCTGACCCACCTCCTTTTCCAACAATTTCTTCTAGTAGGGCTTTTATTGATTTGATCCTCAAGCCCACTGAAGACGATATGAAAATTTGGCCTCATAGGTGAAGTATTTGAAATCTTTAATTTATTTGAATTCTTTATTACAATTATTGTTTGGTAAAATTTACATAATTAATTTTCCATGTGATAGGCTTGCATAAAATGCTTTTATTTTTTTTTTTCTGCTCTTAGTTTTGAATTCCGCTTGAGGGTAGCTTTGGGACCGGGAGGAGATTTGATGCTGACATCTCGGGTTCGAAATACCAATGCTGATGGCAAGCCATTTTCATTCACTTTTGCATATCACACTTATTTCTCCGTTTCAGACATCAGGTATGATAAACTTGGTTTCTGCTGTTTTGGTCATAATATGACGTGCTTCACAGTTGTATTAGTATCTTCTTATTGTTTAGACATGCATGAGACTGTCATAAGCTGTCATGTAGAATTCACTACTTTTCCTTATAATATACTGTCATTATAGTTGTTGATTCATCTAACTACTAAGCCATGTTTTTATCTTGAAAACCTTTAATTTTGTTAACAGAATTTTCCATTTGGAATTATTTAAAACCATGATCTGGAAACCTCAGAATGGTTACAAGTTCAACTTCCTGTTGAAAAAGTTAATATAGAATAGATTTGTAAATTGCTGTAATATTCCTCTTGTTTGTTTCTGGCAATAGTAGGAGATTTTGGTTGTGATATAATCCTTGGATGCTTTCGGAAACCTTAAATTCGAAGCATGTTTTTATATGTACCTGCTAAGCTGCTCCCAGAATACTTCTTTAGAACCTTGGTTGATTTCCTTTGCTTGCTATTACAAGTCATACATTCCCTCTAGATTAAAAATGAAAAAATAAACAAGTCAACCGCGCCTTAATATGTTTAAGCTTCACCATCATTGGATACCAACCTTTATTCACATTAATCTTCTGCTTCATATGCAAGAGCTGTCTTAGTTCTGCAGATGGCAGTTCATGATTTGATCGTTTGAGACCAATGCTTTTTCTTATGGGGCTTCAAGTCAGATGATGAATGAGGAGGGAATGATTAACCATATTCAGTCTTTGTGTGTTTAGGGAGACAGAAAACATAGGATTTGTTAAATTATCTAGATCCTCAAACATTATTCTTTTAACTTGCGAAATTGGTAGAATAAGCATTATCCCTAGTTACACTTACTAATGGTCCATTTGGATAGCTAGTCATTTGAAATAATGAAGTATCTAGAGTTCTGGTAGCACACTAAATTTTATGATTTTAGTCTTGAAATTCAAATCCAAATCCACATTCCTTAAATGATTATTTATCCAAATGGACTAATATTTTTTTTCCCCTCTCTTTCCAAGACTCTACTATCCTCTTAGCTCTGCTTTACTTGACCTAGCTGTAACTGATGAGATAACCATAGGGGGTAAAGAATAGGTTACTAATTTTTTTCTATTCCCTAATTCTCCTGGTGATATAAGTTGTTCCTAGAAGGTTCATATCATTATTTTAACTAAAGAAAAAAGGTTGAATTTAATCCATGCCTTCCCTCTTTGGAGATATTTCACGTCTGGGAATATTTTGTTATCAGTTGATTTGGTCTGATGTTTAGCAAATTTTGACAAATATTTCTTGGACGAATTTTGGTTTTCCTTTTTGCGCAAGAGGTTGGAATCAATTGTGGGAAAATTCAGTAGGCATGTTTTCATTAAATATGGAAGTTTTCTTCCTTTCAGAAAAAAAAAAGGAAGTTTTCTTTCTAAGCAGGAGCTTGGATCAAACGTGGAGTAAATCAGGAAAGAAATAATTTCATTAAAAAGAGATAAGATGTTTGCTTAGGCCTCGTTTGGTTCAAATTCACCTACTTCCTGGGAAGTACAGTGTGAATATTGTTTGGTTGATATATTGAATTCCGAGGAAAAAAAACTTTGTTAATGAATTTTTACATGTCAAATGACGATAATGCTCCTACTATGAATTTAAGTATAATAATTGAAATAATTCATTGAAAAAAAAAACTAATTTAAGTATAATAATTAAAATAATTCATTGAAAAAAAAACTATGAAGCACATTTTATATATGTTTGACATCATTCGACTTACCTTATAATTCATATATTTTACATAATAATAAATAAAAATATTATTTTAATTAGAAAAATGTTGTGTTTGTGAAATATTTTAGTTAATTAATTAATGAAGTTAATTTCTTAGGGCTGTTAAGAGGTCAAATTGGGTCGAGTTGTTGCAAAAAGTCATCTTAAGCCAAAAATACCAAATTTCCATAATGTTGTGTTTGTGAAATATTTTAGTTAATTAATTAATGAAGTTAATTTCTTAGGGCTGTTAAGAGGTCAAATTGGGTCGAGTTGTTGCAAAAAGTCATCTTAAGCCAAAAATACCAAATTTCCATAAGCTTTTAATTATTGCAACAGTAGCACTAAATAGGGGCAAAGTGGAGATTGTCAAATTTTTAGAGGTCAGGAAGTGCACTTCCTTGGGTTGAGGAGAGGAAACAACTTCCTGTACGGACAGTAAGTTGAGCAATTCAACTTCCCTGGAAGTTCTTTATTTTTGGGAACCAAACATGACCAAATTCATTATTTCCCGGAAGTCCAAGTTCCCGAGTTCACTTACCCCCAACCAAAAGAGGCCTTATTCCAGATAACCCTGTGACTGTACAAGTGTCAATGATTTTTCTTCAACCCCTACAATTGTGGTCTTGGGAAATTGTGAATTTACTGACATATGAGAGGGTCAACTTAATCATTATGTTGAGAATGGTAGTTCAGAATACATAGAGCTCACAAACAACGATCAGGTTTTGTAACTAAACCTTCACACACACAGCACAAATGAAACAGTTTCTGTAGTTTGAACCTTCAAAAGCTATATTTCATTGTTTACTTGAGACTTATATAGAGTTAACTACAAGTTTTAAAGTACAAGAACAGATTTCAGCCATACTTTCACCATACTTCACATCAGCCCATAACTAAGCCATACTTATCTGACTTCAACACTCAAGCTAAACCCATATTTTACCTAATCCCACTAATAGACATGATGTAACAGCAAGCTTGTAACAGAAAATAGAAAATACAAATTTGCCTCCAAAACAATTAGTCAAAAGTAATCAAGCAAATTCTCAGTCTTCAACACTCGTTGAGAATTTTCTTTTATACTTTCAAACTTTGCTTTAGGCAAAGCTTCAATGAAGATATCTGCAATTTGCTGCTCAGATTTGCAATTTTACCAAGTGAACTTCTTGATTTTTTTCAGCTTCTCTAAGGGGGTGTATTGACTTAGGATCGTGTAAGATTTTAAAAGAATTATTGAGTTTGATGAAATTAAAGGATTTTCTAAGATTTTCACATATTCCACTAGAATTCTACATAGAGTTTTGTGGAATTGGTGAGACTTTTTTATAGATTTTTATTGACCTTGATGGAATTACAGTGATTTTTATATATTTAATCAAAATTAATTTCAGTACCTAATTGAACAAATTAAAAGGTTTTGGAATCTAATTGAAAAATTGAAAAACAATGAGGGACCAAAAATTAAATGCGTCATCTTCTCCAAAATCATTTTTTTTTCCGTCATTAAAACCTTACCACTGTCGAAAGTGAAAGGCTGCAATGGCCTGCGTCGCCAGCGGCCATCCTGTGCTCCTAGAACAGTCACAATGTGATTAGAAGACCATAGACCTCCGCCAACTGCTAGAGCTCGCGCGAGGAGGTGGTTTTATATTAATTTGAAACCGATGCATGGCCTGCCGCTTGCGGCTCACAGAGCCTAGTGGTCTAGCCACAACAATGGCAGAATGTATTTTTCAGTTCTTTGACTATTTCAAACTTTTTCAATTTTTTATTTGATTATATCATTATTTAATTGAAATTGATGCATAAAAATTTCAAAAATAATCAAATTAATTCTGAAAATTTGCAACATTAATATTAATTTTTGTCAAAATATCAAAGTCACAGTACATGAATTAATTCGAAACTAATCCAATAATTAACACATTGTTTTACATTTTAAGGGGTAGGGATAGAAGTGGTACAAGTATTTTAGGATACCTGCTCCGATCCATTTAAAGAGCATATGGGTAGTTATAAATTGGTATGCAACGGATATGGATAATGAAATTACTACCCATAATGGATATGGGTAGTGAAATTACTACCCATAATGGATACAAGTAGGGTATATGTATAGATATTTGGATACCAGTTATCCGTTAATCTCTATATTAAATAGGTTCGTTAATTGGTACCTGCAAGTATTCTATCCGTTATTAGTAAAAAATATATTTTAAATAAGTTCGAATTTGAATAGTTTAAGATTCGTAGGTACCCTACCCATTCAAGAGGTACTTAAAACGAGTTTTGGACAAATACATATAGTAAAATTTAAACGGGTTCAAATACATGTACTTAAATGAGTATTTAAATGAGTTTAGATCGGATACGAGTAGTAAAATTTTAAATAGATACATTTTAAATTCGCAAGTACTCGCTCTGCTTTCGTCCTGATTAAGGGGTGTATTGGATTAAAATTCTGTTAGACTTTAAAAGATTTTTGAAATCTTTGGGTTGGGAGGATGGATTTGTGAATGACTCTTTTATTCATACCGGGCACCTTAAAATCCCAACGAAATCAATAATTTTACAAAATCTTTTCAAATTAGTAATTTTTTGTATACCATCAAATTTATATGGACTTTTAAAAGGTCATAATTGAATACCATCAGATTTTAATAGACTCCAAAAAAATCTAGATTGAATACCATCAGATTTTAATAGACTCCAAAAAAATCTAGATTGAATACTATTGGAATTTTAAAATCTTTTAAAATCTAATAGAATCTTAATCCAATAGATTTAATAGACTCCAAAAAAATCTAGATTGAATACATCAGATTTTAATAGACTTCCAAAAAAAATCTGATTGAATACTATTGGGAATTTTAAATATATTTTAAAATCTTAATAGAATCTTAATCCAATACCACTACTCTAATTGAAATGGCAGCTTGACATGTGCTGCATTGTGCTTGGTTTCTGGACTACATTGGTTTGCTATGGTAATAGCCAAATATTATCTACATTAATACAATATTGAATACCATCAGATTTTAATAGACTCCAAAAAAATCTAGATTGAATACTATTGGAATTTTAAAATCTTTTAAAATCTAATAGAATCTTAATCCAATACACTACTCTAATGAAATGGAGCTTGACATGTGTGTGCTTGGTTCTTGGACTACATTGTTTGCTATGGTAATAGCAAATTTATTATCTACATTAATGACAATAGCTTTCATTTGTTCCACTTCAAATCATTAAGAATCTTTCTTCGCCAAATTGCTTGGTTAGCAGTAGCTGCTGCTGCTATGTACTTAGCCTCAACAGTTGACTGAGCTACCAAATCCTGCTTTTAGAATTCCATGAAAATACGGCAAAGCCAAGACTGAATTCATACACTGGAGTGCTCTTCAATTCATCAATAGAACCAGCCCTAAAGTGCTGTTCAATTCATCAATACCCTGAATTTCAAAATAAAATTCAATTGGGAAGTTCGATTTATATTGGTATGTTCCAAATCAATTTACACCCCTACAAATGGTAATCAACATACAAAGATATAACGAGTTGTTGCTTCTCATCATCATCATCCTCTCTAACATATGTTTTAGCTTCATTTTCATTCCTTGAGTCCTTGTTTTGACAAATAGGAGTCAATTCTGCTGCACAATTGTTTCTTGTTTTGGGCCATAGAGTGCCTTCTTAGCTTGTATACCATCCTTTCACTATTTTAACTTGAGACCCTTTTGGTTGTTCTACATAAATTTCTCCTTGAAGCAGGCCATTTAAGAAGGCTGATTTGACATCCATGTGACACATTCTTCATCCCATCTAAGCTGCGAGTGCCACCAACAGTCTAATGGTGTCATGCCTAGCTGTAGGTGCAAAAGCATCACCATAGTCCACTCCTGGCTATTCTGCATAGTTCTTAACGTCCAATCTGGCCTTATGCTTGAAGATGAATCCATTGGGATTAAGTTTGATCCTAAAGACCCATTTTACACCAATTACATTCTTGCTTTTAGGCTTAGAGACAAGCTACCTTGTGCCTTTTTTCTCTATCATATTCATCTTCTCTTCCACTGCCTGGTTCCACACTTCAAAGATCGGTACCTTGCACCTCTAATACACATCAGCTAGGGGTCTAACTTTGAGGACACCAGTGTCAGCAGTGAGCTCTACTCTGAATTTCTGTCTTCAGCTTGATCTCCTAAGCTGGATTCTAAATTATTTCAACACCATTTTCTAGTTGAGCCACTGCATTTCCCTTCAACCTCTGTTTCTTTTTCAATACTAATATGCTTCTTCATCAGCCTCCACATCCCTACTTGCCATTGCTTTCATATTTTGTAGATTGTCGATTTTGTAGCCCTTGGATTCTGCTGCATACCCCAAGAAAATCCCAATTTCTGCTTTTTCATCAAGTTTTCCCCTCTTTATAGGTGGCACATGCAAAAGACTTTCAGGTGCTGCACTGAAAGTTTTTTTACCACTCCAAGCCTCAATAGGTGTCTTTCCTGCCATAAACCTTGTAGGTAGCCTGTTGAGCATGTATACAATAGTAAAACTGCTTCTTCTCAGAAGCTTTTAGGTGGCTTCTTCTCAAATAACATGAATCTGGCCATCTCCATTACGATCGTATTGTCTCTTTGAAACTCCATTTTATTCAGGAGAATAGCTGATTGTCAACTGATGTTGCTCAAAGCCTTGCAAAACTTGTGAAACTCTGTAGAGATGTATTCAGTCCCATTGATCTAAGAGTCTTTGAATTACAGCCACTTTGTTTTTCCAGGAAAACCTTGAATTGCTGTAGAAAATACTTGGAACTTGGAGTTTAGGAAATAGACTCAAGTTATACCTGCGAAATCATCAATAAACAAGATAAAGTACGTTTTTTTGGCTTAAGGATTAATCCCTCATTGGACCACAGACATCCGTTTGCACTAGCTCTAAGTTAATCTATGCTCTCCAAGCTTTTTCAATTGGTTTTCTTATGCAACTTCCCGAGCTGAGAGCAGCCCACAAACTTCATTGTTCACAAAAATCTGCCGTAAATCCTTCACTAATTCATTTGAGCACATAAACTTTAAAGATTTCAAGTTAAAATGCCCAATCTCCAATGCCTTAACCAAGACTTCTCATGGCCAGCATTATATGCATGTTGCTTTACTAATTCCTAATTAAAAGAGTAACTATTGTGAACCAATTTCACCTTAGCTATATCAAAACTACTAGGTTCAAAAATAGTGCAGCAATAGCCTTTGAATAACACCCATGCCCCTTTTCTGCATTTGGCTAAGCTAAGCAAACATCAGGAACTGTTTTAATACCTTGCTTAGTCTGGACAAGTATTGTTCCTCTGTTTGAGCTTCCACTACATCTCCATTTGCTAGCTTGACCTTCTTCCTGTCACTTTACCCAAGGTGTGCAACAAGCTAACATCACTTGCGATGTGGTTGGTACATGCACTATCAACAAACCAGGTATGTTTTGAGGTTTTGAGGGACTGAAACCATAAACAAATGGTTTTCCTGCTGAACTTGGTTCTCTACAAAGTTGTCCTGTTGTGCAGGTGGTTGTTGTCTTTGATTTGTTTGGATCTGCAAGCTTTTTCAATGTGATCATACCTGACACAGCTTCTACATTATTTATTCTCTGAGCAAGACCTTCTAGATGATTGGTCTTCTTGCAAATTCCACATGTTGGAAATTTTCCTCTCTTCTCAAAACTTTTCTTGCCGTCATTTGTCATTTCTCCTTCATTCTCTTGTTTTTCCCACTGCTACTAGTAGAAACATAGCTTTTATTCATGACAAGAAGGGCTCCTTCTATTGACTCTTCATCTTAAACTCCTTTGTTCTTGTGCTTGCAAGGCATGGACCAGCTCTTGCAGAGTTAGCTGGTTCAGATCTTTAGAATCTTCTAAAGATGAGAATTTTGCCTCAAATCTTTCTGTTAGACTAACAAGAACCTTCTCCACAATCCTCTTGTTGGTCAAATCTTCATCCAACAGCCTGATTTTGTTAACTAGCGATCTTTCTTAGATTCTGAGTCTTTCATTGGAAGGAACTCAAACTCCCTTCTCAAGTTAAACACTTGCATTTTCCCTGTTTTCTCCACTGCCTAGGGACTCCTCTTTGATCTTGTCCCAAGCTTTGCTGTTTCACATGCTATAGTCCTTGAACTTTTTCCCGCACTCCTTATTATATAGTTTCCTTTGGTCAGCTGTGGGATTTCCTCCCAAGGGAGGAGGATCTACACCATTTTCCACAGCTTCCCACAAATGAAAAGCTCTCAGATAAGCCTTCATTTTAACTGCCCATATTTGGTAGTTTTCGCTAGTGCAAACAGGAGCTGAAGGAGTGGAAAGACTGCTGGAAGCCATACTCTGAAACTCGCAAGTGTTTAAGTCTTTTAGGAAGGTTTCTTACTTGTTTTCTCTCAGCCACAAACCCCTTAAAGATCAATTACAGCTCTGATGCCATGTTCAGAATGGTAGCATGGAAGACACTTTCACAGCTCACACACACAGCAGGCTCTGTAACTTAACTTCACACACACAGCACAAACAAAACAGGTTGTGTAAGTTGAACCTTCAAAAAGTTATATTTCATTGATTACTTGAGGCTTCTATTTAACTACTAGTTTTAAAGTGCAAACTACAAAAACAGATTTGAGCCATACTTTCACCATATTTCACTTCAGCCCATAACTAAGTTATTCTTAGTTGATTCAATACTCAAGCCAAATCCATACTTTTACCTAACCCCACTAATAGATTACAGAAAACAGAATATACAAGTGTGTAAGCAAATCCTCAAACCTTCAACATGTTAGTATTTCTTTTTGGTTCTGTATTTAGGGTTTGTTCTAAAAGAATCTTTGTTCCATCCCTATGTATTGTTGACTTGTGAGTAGTATCAGAACCTTAGAAGTTTCAATTATTAACAATTTTGCATAGGTTTTTCCTTTATTGCATTGCATTAACCTTGAAAATTCGGGCTTTCTTGGCTTATTGAATAGCTTTCCTGTTCTGTGGTTATCTATAATGCAATAGTCCAACTTGTACCTGATGCTAGATTTAGATATAATCCCTTTAGTTCATCTTTTCCCATTCCACTTGGTGTTGGTAGCCTTGATAATGTTCACATGGGCAGATATGTGAAAAATGGAACTCTTTGAAAATTAGACTGGCCAATATTTGCAACTTCTCAGTCCACTATCAGCTTTTGAGTTAAATTTTTGTTTCTTATTTTCTGAATCCACCAATTGTACAGCCATTTCTGCTGAAGAATGTTGTGGTAGATCTTTATATTTGCCTTATATAGCCTACTGTCGTTCTAAGGCAAAACTGATTTACACATGCTGTTATTAATTTTTGCCCAAATGCAGGCTTTAGTTTTTCTGGTTTGATAGTGTTTTATTCCCTCATTCTTTTATTTGTTTTTTACCTTTTTGCAGTGAAGTTCGAGTTGAAGGCTTAGAGACTCTGGATTATCTTGACAACCTGCAGAATAAGGAACGGTTTACTGAGCAAGGGGATGCAATAACTTTTGAATCAGAAGTGAGTTAAGGATACTGGTTTTCTCTTTATACTTGTGGTTATCGGTTTATGATGTTCTAATTTTAACCTTTATCTTTACATAGATTGATAAGATATACCTCAGCACTCCAACGAAGATAGCAATTCTGGATCATGAAAAAAAGAGAACATTTGTATTACGGAAAGATGGACTTCCAGATGCCGGTGAGATTTACACTTCTTTCTGTTTTTTTAACGTAGCATGATCGACATTGTTTTAGCCATTTATGCTAAAAGCTTCCTGAGGGTGGGACTCTGATGTTTTCACTCTTTGATTCTCTCTTGGCTTTCTGAGTTATCATTCATACTGTGAAAAACTGAAGTGCATTATCCATTTAGGTAGATATTGTGACATTAAGTCCCTTTTTAGAGAAATAGAATATAGAAAGACTAGCATTCGAAACCGGGTCGACCAAGCTTGGAAACTGAGTTGCTTTTGCTATTAACTTGAGCTATAAATTTTCCCATTCAGTGTTCCCCAGTAATGAACACATTATGTACCTTTTTTTCTTATCTTTTGTATGTAGTGGTGTGGAACCCATGGGATAAGAAGGCAAAAGCTTTGGCTGATTTTGGGGATGACGAATACAAGCACATGTTGTGCGTGGAGGCTGCAGCCATCGAAAAGCCTATTACGTTAAAACCTGGTGAAGAATGGAGAGGAAGGCTTGAACTTTCTGCCGTTCCTTCCAGTTACTGTAGTGGCCAACTTGATCCTCAGAAAGTTCTGAGCAGCTAAGAAGCAATGTGTACTATTTTGGTCTTAAAAGATTTCTGTACTGTACAGCTACATTGGCTGTAAGTTCCAATCAAGTGCTCTAAATATTTGCTCTTGTATAATTTCAGTATCGGAATTTCACTTCTTTGAGATCTTATCAAGTATGCTTTGCTTGAGAAATTGTAAGATTGACTATTGCAATTCTTATACAACAATATTGTGAAATGAAATGGTTCTTTTCTTATTTCCAAGACTTTGATTTGATTTGTCTAATTAATATATTATTTGTGTTATAATTAATTCCTGGTTTCCATTGTGTTCCTAGTTTCTGTGAAATGTAATTTAACAGTAATTAACCTTTTACTTCTCAATGTAAGAATATGTACACAAACGCTGCCAGGAGGAACTTGTATATAATTTCTGCCATATCTTTTTTCACAGCATAGGAACCAAATTCCATTTACAAAGCCTAGGTTCATTAGTTATATTACTTACGTATTACAATTCATTATTAATTTCCACTTTGCATGAAATGTAATGAATTGCTCCTGAGCTTATCAGAACTCAGATCAATAACCTCCCTTGAGCTTGCTTTTTTCAGGCTTATTTAATAAGTTGATGATCTATTCATTTATACTTCTGGAAGTTTTTATTTTTACAAATTTACAGATTTAATCTAAATTCTAAAACCCGATCTCTACATGCATTGGTTTCATAGGGTTAGTTCTCATTCGTACAATCCATGTCTTGCATATATCAATAATAAAATCCAGGAGGATATATTAAACAAGAGCAGTGCTACTCCAGGAGGTAGTTCTGTTTTCAGCTGTTTAGCAAGCCATGAAGACTATCATCATCATCATGCAGAGAAACTCTGAATATCAAGTGCCTGAGACAAGTTAGTTCAGGAATTCTTACTCCCTAGGCACTTTATGGCATGTATAATATCCTTAACCTGCTTAGGAAGTATCTGCAATGTGAGAGTCTCTAGCTGAGAGAAATATCTTGAAAACTGCATATAAGCATAACGTAAGTTGTAGAATTGTGTAGCGCACTAAAAATCAAATGAACTAGACAGCGAAGATCCTGAAGTTTCAGGCTTATTTTTGGCCCATGATGACACAACGAGATGAGATTTAGGGCACAAATCTCAATGTTTTCCCAAAAAGAACAATTCCATACATTAAAGTATTTCAATTTGAGGGATGAACCAGTAACCCGTAAATTTGACAGAATGGAGAGTTCTTCAAGTAAAGGGCAATTTTGTCAAGATTAGCTCAATGATTTCACCACTTATAATGCTAGACAAAACAAGAGGGTTTTGATACAACAACAACAATCAACTGGAAAAGCATAGCATTTGAAACTGCTGCTTTTTTTTTTTTTTTTTTTTTTTCAAGTTAAAGGGCAATTTTGTCAAGATTAGCTCAAATGATTTCACCACTTATAATGCTAGACAAAAACAAGGAGGATGGCTTTTGATCAACAACAACAATCAACTGCCGAAAGCCATAGCATTTGAAACTGCTGCTTTTTTTTTTTTTTTTTTATTTGTAAAGTTGCCGACAGAATGGAAACAGCTGATTTTTTTTTTTTTTTTTTTGTAAAGTGCGACAGAATGGAAACAGTGACATCATTGGGTTGTTATAAAATGGACCCTCATGTCGAGGCTGTACATGTGGTGAACTGAAGAGGGAAAATATAAGTACGATTCCTATGATTTGCAAAATATGTACAAAATACAACTAGTGAGTTTTTGTCTTTTTTAAAATTTATAAATTTTTCCCATATTTTGCTTCTATTATATTACTAGTTTCTTTAGTCTAATTTTTATATATTCCATTAAGTTAATAAGAAAATACAGAGGTCAAATGAGAGATACTAAAATATTATACGAAAAAAAATATCGTAAAGTCCCTATAGTTTGAAAAATACAACTAATTTTGTCCCTATATTTTTAAAAATAAAAGAAATATTTTCGTCATTTCATAAGGCATTTGATGGCGAAAATATAAAAATTGAACGAAAGCATAGTCTGACGAAATATACCATAAGGATATTTTAGTCTATTTAAAAAAGATAAGACGGATTAATTGTATTTCATAAACCGTAGATATTGTACTGTATTTTTTCAGTTGTAAATTGTAAAAATAATGGTTAATAAAAGGAACTGATATATGCCCAAATGCTGACTAATATGACCAACGTTGCGCGCCCCTCCATTCTAGTTTCTTGAGATACCTCAGCCTTCTGCGTGCTCCTTATTTGACTTTTCAATTTGTTTAAAACTTGTGATTCTATCCTATCATTGAAAGATAATTCTTTCTATTTTATATTCTTCAATAAGCCATTTGATTTGTAGTTTGAGGCAAAATAAAGAATTTAGGATTACCAAAATCCAAACAAATCTCTGCAGAAATGTCGGAGACAAAAAATAAATAAATAACACGTGCATATTGTAAATGAATAAACAAATAAATAAGGTAAACAAATCAAATCTATGGATTCAGTAAGTTAAAGAAGAATAATCAGTAAAAGATTTGAACTCAAACCATTAATTGCAGAAGCAAGTTTCTGAAAAGGTTAGGTATACTGCACTATAAATGAAAATTAGATTAGTGTTGGTAGCATTTTTATATCTTTCATTTTCTTAATCTCTCATTTTCAAGGCCTAAGGATATAGATAATTAGACAAAAAAATAATACAACTACATTTGATTTTTCATATATCAACTACATTGATTTTTTCATATATATATAATATATATAATATATATAGTATATATATTATAATTAGAGTCAATATATATATATAATTAGAGTCATACATTATCTTTTGGCCTTAATTTGACATTGATTAGTAGTTAATTAATTAATAACAGAAAATAAAATATATATAGTTATACAAAGGACTGAAGTGATATTATCTTATTAATTCATTAATTAAAAAATAATAATCTTTTAAAATGGTGAATTTTTGGTTCATTTAACTCAAGGTAAATCAATAGGTCTCATATTAAATATCACTTTAATCCTTTAATGATTTAAGTTTTAAACTAGAGTGTCAATATATTACATGTTTTCAAACGGGAGTATCTGGGATAAAAGATCATTTTAAAATGATTTTACAACAAGTCGCATAGTTGAGGTATTTTTATAATTTAAATCGTTATATATATTTTAAAATATCTAAATTTTTTCTGTTTTTGTGTCCATCTATAATTTTATTTAATTAGATATTCATGGTGTTTGGAGACCTAAGAATATATTTACTGACTTTATTCATGAATTTTGGCCGCTTTTTTTTTTTTTTTCTCTCTTTCTTTATAACAATCATTCGTGACGGTACTTTTTTATCTCCATAATATCTGCAGTTCATCAGTTTTTTCACGGATAAAAAGAAGGCAAAAAAAAAAAAAAAAAAAAAAAAAAAAAAAAAAACGTCATGAGATCTAGCAGCTAGAATTTGCGTCACTGTTTTTGAATTTTTTTAAAAAAAAAAAAAAAAAAAAAAAAAGATCATGATAGTCTAGCAGCTAGAATTGGTCACTTTTTTGAATTTTTTATCTATTTAGAATTATTTCTTATAACCTCATATTTTATCTCTTATATCCATGTGTATGGAGCTGCAAATTTAAAGTCAATAGTAAAGTTGCAATTGAATTAAATTTTGAAAATGCTGAAAAATGAGAAAGAAATCATTTGATTGGAGAGGGAAACTGTTAAACATGTGCATCAGTAGCTGATTATTCTACGGAGTTTCAGTAAGATTATCTAGTTCAGTTTCCTTAGCCTATTTTTTAGGAGTTTGTTATTTGACCATCTTTACTAGCTGTTACTGCTTACTAGAGTTTAGCTAAGTTTGTTGTTGTTTTTTCTATTTTTCCTGTTACGATGTTGTGTATTTAAGCAATGCATCAGTGAATAAAATAATCATCTTTCTCAATCCTTCACTACTATTAACCTTTTTTTCTTCTCAAAGATCATTAGTCATTTACCAACATATTGGTATTAGAGCTCTTTTTATTAAGGATCTGTACGTGAGCCAAGAGAAACCCACCATAAAACCTTAGGTTCCTAGATTCAATCCATAAAATGGATTCTGATACAGCACTAGCACCACCAGTGTTTAAGGGTGAAAATTACCAATTATGGGCAGCCAGAATGGAAGCCCACCTAGAGGCGAATGATCTCTAGGATGCTGTTAAGGAGGACTACGAAGTTACTCCCTTGACAAATAATCCAACCATGGCTCAACTGAAGAGTCATACTTTAAGAAAAACAAGGAAGTCGATGGCAAAAGCTACCTTGTTCGTTGCTGTCGCACAAGAAATCTTTACAAGAATCATGAACCAGAAGTCAGCATTTGAAGTTTGAAATTTCCTCAAAACTGAATATGAAGGAGATGAAAAAGTTAGAGGAATGCAAGTGTTGAATCTGATTCGTGAGTTTGAGATGCAATGAATAAAGGAGTTAGAGACAATCAAGGAGTATACAGATAAGCTTCTTAGCATTGCTAACAAAATAAGGTTGCTTGGTTTTGAATTTTCTGATTCTAAACTTGTTCAGAAAATACTTGTAACTATTCCCGAAAGGTTTGATGCTACTATATCATCCATGGAGAGTAGCAAAGATTTGTCAAAGTCACCTTAGCAAAACTAAACAATGCTTTACAGGCTCAAGAACAAAGGAGATTGATGAGGAGTGAAGGTTCTGTGGAAGGAGCATTGCAGGCTAACTTACAAATCAATCAAGGAGAGAAAGACAAGAAGAAGAGTTATAAGAAGAGCTTAAATCCACGTGATACAACTAGCAGCAGCAAAGGAGAAAAGAAGAGAGATTTTCCTCCGGCAAACATTGCGGCAAAAAGGGTCATCCTCCTTTCAAATGTTGGAAAAGACCCGATGTGAAGTGTGGAAAGTGCAATAAACTGGGGCACCATTAAAGAATATGCAAAAGCAATTTCCAGCAAAAGGACGATGCCCAAGCAACAAGCGAGCAAGAAGAAGAACAATAGTTGTTTGTAGCATCTTGTTTTACAAGCACCAGCTCAAGTTCAAGTGATTGTTGGCTCGTAGACAGTGGTTGTACCAATCACATGACCGGCGATGAAGAACTCTTCAGAGAGTTGGATAAGTCACAAATATCCAAAGTCAGAATTGGTAATGGTGACTACATTGCTGTCAAGGGAAAGGGAATTGTCGGCATTGAGAGTTGCACAGGTACTAAATTAATTTCTGATGTTTTGTAT